TTTTTTTGAGAAAATTTGGAAAAAAATCAAGTTTTTGGTTAAACTAAAAATTTTTTATAAAATAATGCAAAGAATTGTAATCATTTATTTTTGACCTAATTTAGTTCATTAATAATTGAAAAATTAGTGTACTAAGTTTGTGTTCCAACATTAGAATTTTTACAACAATTTATACACCAGACTAGGCAACACTGATTAATTTGACCATTATTAAGTGGCCCATGACTGAAATTGAGTTGGCAATGCCAACTCTTAAAAGTAAAATGTTACTGTCTTATTAACGCACGTACTTTGAAACAATAAGTCAAATTTCCTATTTTAGCTTGTTTGACATTTGTCAGTTGGGGCGCTACCAACATTAAAAATGAAAATGTACTAGTTTATTAAAGCACTCATTTTAATTTTTTTTAGGCAAAATGGCCGACGCAGCTGCCAGTAGCCAGCCCGAGGACCGCCCCCTCGCCCTCTCCCGTCGCGAATTCCCATCTCGAAGTTCCTCCGGGAGTCGCTCCTACGACCCCCAACTCTACCAACTCCCCCTCCCCGCCACCATGAGCCACCACCGCGAATCCTCCGCTTTCGTTCCGGTGGTACCCTCCCGGAACATGCACCCCATGTTGTACCCCAGCGACATGCACCCCCTCCTCCTCGACGAGCGCCCGGAGTCGGGTAAAACCCCCGACGGTTCCTCGTCGCTCTACCTCCGGAAATCCACCAGTTTCGAGCTTATGGTCATGATGAACGACAAGAAAAAGGAGTTGCAGATGCAGAGGGAGGCGGCGGCGCATGCTGCCGCCCTCATGCTACCCCGACCTGGACCACCTCCCGGATTGCTAGAGTCCGGCTCTTCCGGGCAGGGGTATCCCGGATTTTTACCGAATAATCCAGGGAGTGCGTCGTTTGCGTTCCCGAGTTTCCAGCCGGGGCCCCCACAGATGCATGCGCATCTGGATAGGAGGCTGTTGAGGGCTCCGGGGAGGGCTTCCAGGCCCAAGAAACAGTTCATTTGCAAGTTTTGCAATAGACAATTTACTAAGAGTTATAATTTGTTGATTCATGAAAGGACGCATACTGATGAAAGGCCGTATTCTTGCGATATTTGCGGGAAGGCCTTCAGGAGGCAGGACCATTTGAGGGATCACAGGTTAGTCCAATTTTATGATAATTCAATTAATTTAATTACACTTAATTACCGATGCGCCGTAATTTTTTTATTTATGTGAGGCAGGTGGTTGGTAAGACAAACTGTTGAAACTTACAATTAATTTCAGTGTTGCCAGCGTAAAAAAATTAATTCACCAGATCCGAGCCAAATTACACAATTTTGATTTAAAGTTTACTTTTTTACATAAACTGACTGGTTAAAGGCTAAGAATTAGGTAAAAATACCTGTAATGTAACCTATTTGAAACAGTATACCAAGATCTCGCAGAAAAACAGTGTTTTTAGCTCAAAAACGTGTTTAAATGCTTGAAAAAGGCAAAAATGACGTCATTTTTGGTTTAATTCTGTGATTATCTTTATGTTGATTTTTTGCTTTATTTTTGCGAAATTTTACAAAAAATTTGAAGCATTTCAGATTAAATTTGTGTTTTTTTGACTTAATTTTTGACCTTGTTTAGTAAAATGCTGTGAAAACTAAAATTATTTTTAACTAATTCGGTTATTTTTCGTTTTGTTTTGNTCGTTTTGTTTTGAAAAATTAAATTTTTGGTTAAAAAACTAGGATAATTTTATAAAAATATGCAAAGAATTGTGTCATTTATTTTTGACCTAATATAATTCAAAAAGTATTAGTGTACTAAGTTTTTGTTCTAAAAAAATTACCAATCATTAGAATTTAATTTAAAAACGTATTAAAACTCTCGACAAATGCAAGAATAATATGATTTTTGGCTTTTTATGTTGATTTTTTGGTTTGTTTTTGCAAAATCTTGAGATTTTAGGTCAAAAACGTATCATAAAAACGAAGTAGGCGAGCTTAACAAGCTAAAAAATATATCAATTTTGATTTAATTTTGTAAAATTTAAGTCTGTTTAAACAAAATTATTTCAATTTTATCTTAAAAACGAGTTAAACACTCGGAAAAAGCAAAAACAACACTATTTGTGACCAAATTTGTGGGTTTTTTGACGTTTTTTTAACGAAATTTTGTGAAATAATTGTGTTTCTAGCTGTAAATTTTGTGAAGTATTTGAAAAAGTCAGAAGTAAATTGTCATTTTTGACCTTGTTTAGTAAAACGCTGTAAAAAAACTAATAACCAATTTTGTTGTTTTTGTTTTTTTTTTTGAAAAAATTTGCCAAAAAAATCAAATTTTTAAATTTTAGTTTGGCAACCTTGACTTTCAGATTTAAACGGCAAACTTTTATAAGCAATTGTCATTCATTTGCGATGGGCGACTGCTGATTTAGCTGTCACCTGAAACATTTGGAAGGTTTACCAATAATTCAGTGTTGCCATAAATTTTTTTGTCACAATTTTTTATTTATGCGTGGTAGGTGGTTGGTAATGTAAACTGTTGAAAGTTAAAACCTAAGAAACGGAGTTTTTAGCTCAAAAACGTGGTTAAACGCTTGAAAAAGTCAAATATATGACATCATTTTTGGTTTAATTCTGTAATTTTTCAGCTTGTTTTTAACAAAATTTTGCGTTTCTTGCTAAGAACCGTTCTAAAACTCTCGACAAATGCAAGGATAATACGATTTTTGGCTTTTTATGTTGATTTTTTTGTTCGTTTTTGTGTTTTTGTTTTTTGTGAAATCTTACAAAAAACTCGAGATTTTAGGACAAAAACGTGTCTAAAAGCATTTCAGAAGAAATTTTGTGTTTTTTCGACCAAATTTTGCTCAAAACTAAACTAAATCGAACGAAACAGACAAAATAATGTCAATTTCAATTTTTATTTGTGATTTTTAGCCATTTTTGGAGATGATTTTGCAAAATAAATGAGCCTCTGGTTAAAAAACGAAATAGTCGAGCTTAACAAGCTAAAAAATAATAGCAATTTTGTAAAATTTAGGTCTGTTTAAACAAAATTTTTCGAAAATTTTTTGATTTTATTGTAAAAACGTGTTTAAACACACGGAAAAGGCAAAAACAACTCTATTTTTCACCAAATTTGTTGCTTTTTCGACTTTTTTAACGAAATTTTGTGAAATAATTCTGTTTCTAGCTGAAAAATGTGAAACATTTGAAAAAGGCAAAAGTAAATTGTCATTTTTGACCTTGTTTAGTAAAATGCTGTAAAAAAACTAGAACTATTTTTAACCAATTTGGTTATTTTTTTTTGAGAAAATTTTGCATCAAGTTTTTGGTTGAAAAACTTGGGAAATTAAAACAAATTAATGTACAAAATTTTTGTTTTAAAAAAATCCCCAATTTTTACACCAGACTAGTATAAAAATGTCCTGATCTGATAAAATTTAACCAAACTTGGCAACACTGATTAATTTGACCATTTTTTTGATCAAAGTGGCCCATGACTGAAATTAAGTTGGCAATATGAATCATGTAGAAGACAGAAGTAAATGATTTTTGTCGTAACATTGACTGTCAAACACAATAACTCAGTGTTGCCAATTTAATTTCAAGTCGCAGCCTACTTAATCAGAAATTTAATTAAACTCCAGGTATTTTCTTTTACGATACCACCTACTATTCACTGAGTCATAAAACTCGACTTTTGACATTTCGAAATGATTATTTCCTTATTTACCGCAATTAACCAAACGAAGTAAAAGTAACCCTGTAATGACATTTTTCGCTCCTAAGTCTTGCATAATTTAATAGATTGAACGAACAATAGGTTTAATAGCTTCTAAATTGGATTATTTAATCGGTATTTGGGTCACAAGGGAGGAAAGTGAGTGATTTTTACTCGTATACAAGAAAATCCTAACTCAAAGTGTTGTGTTAGATTACATTATAATCGAAATTTGGAAGCAGGAAGTTCAGCTACTTGAAAATTGCTCATTTCCGGTAGATAAGCGTGAAGGAGTGTAACAAATTGTTAACTTGTTTTATAAATAAATAAAAATTCAGATTTCATCATTTCCGTTTATAAAAAAATCTTTGTTTTTTCCAATACAGTTAAAATTTTTCCAGTTCTTGGAATAACTAATTCTCAGGCAATTTTAATTCAAATTTATTAAAATTGACTTGAAACACTTTCCGAAGACATTCCACCGGTCGAACGGTTCGTTTCACCATAAATTTATAATATTGCTAAACGTCATCAAATTCTTTCTCCGACTCGAGTAATTAAAAAAGTGTGAAATGTGAAAAGTCATAGAGACAAAAACGTGTGAAATTCTCAAGTTGGTTCTCCTGTTTGGTTTTTTCCACTAGATTTAATTAAAATTGTATAGTGCAATATAATCAATATTTTTTCGTCTTGGGTCTCGTATCCCGCAGAGTGCTCTAGTAATTTCAAGCGATGGATCTAGAAACCAGTTTGCCGCAGGGTTACCAACCGAGCGACAAGGATATACCACTCTTCGATTTTAATCGAATTAGGGGAAGTTTTGAGGAAACTGTACCCGAGATACAATCGGGTTTTTACCTGGACCTGTCTGGGGCCCCCCCAAAAATGATTAATTCCGACGTAATCCCCCATAAATCCGAGTTTATTGGCGCTACTGAGATTAGAATAAAAATTGTCCGGTGAGAAATGTTGATTCAAGGTTACCAACTTCAAAAATGTTGATTGCTTGTAATTACTTTTAATCGGCGATCAATTTATTCAATAATTGGGGAGATCGAAAAATGATGGAGGCTTAAAAACGTAATTATAGAGTGATACTTTGGGACGAAAAGTCATTAATGGGGACCCAAACCATTTACAAATGAGCGAAAATTGAGGAAAACAAGGATTGTGATTTTTACCTCAAGTTGGCAATCTTGACTTTCAAATTTAAACGTCAAACTTTTATAGGCAATTGTCATTCGTTTGCGACGGGCGACTGCTGATTTAGCCGTCACTTGAAACATTTGAAAGGTTTACCAATAATTCAGTGTTGCCAATACATTTTTTGTCACAATTTTTTATTAATGCGTGGTAGGTGGTTGGCAATGTAAACTGTTGAAACTTACAATTAATTCCAGTGTTGCCAGCGCAAAAAATAAAATTTACTAGATCTAAGTCGAGACAATTATTTTTACCAAATTACACGATTATGATTTAAAGTTTACTTTTTTCACATAAACTGCGTGATTAAAGTCTAAGAAACGGAGTTTTTAGCTCAAAAACGTGTTTAAACGCTTGAAAAAGGCAAAAATGACATCATTTTTGGCTTAATTTTGTGCTTGCTTGCTTTTAACGAAATTTTGCGTTTCTTGCTAAAAACCATACTAAAACTCTCGATAAATGCAAGAATAATACGACTTTTGGCTTTTTTATGTTGATTTTTTAGTATGTTTTTGTAAAATCTTACAAAAAACTTTTTTTAGGACAAAAACGTGTCTAAAAGCATTTCAGATGTAATTTTGTGTTTTTTCGACCAAATTTTGCTCAAAACTAAACTAAATCGAACGAAATAGAGAAAATAATGTCAATTTCAATTTTTATTTGTGATTTTTAGCCATTTTTGGACAAGATTTTGCAAAATAAATGGGCCTTTGGTTCAAAAACGAAGTAGTCGAGCTTAACAAGCTAGAAATAACATCAATTTTGTAAAAATTAGGTCTGTTTAAACAATTTTTTTTAATTTTATTATAAAAACGTGTTTAAAAACACGGGAGAGGCAAAAACAACACTATTTTTGAACAAATTTGTTGCTTTTTCGACTTTTTTAACGAAATTTTGTGAAATAATTCTGTTTCTAGCTGAAAAATGTGAAACGCTAGAAAAAGACAAAAATGGCTTAATTTTGTTGTTTTGCGTTTCTAACTGAAAAACGTACTATACCTCTCGAAAAATTCAAGAATAAAATGATTTTTGAGGTCTTTATGTTGATTTTTTGCTTTATTTTTGGAAAATCTTACAAAAAACTTGAGATTTTAGAACAAAAACGTGCCTATAAGCATTTCAGATCGAATTTTGTGTTTTTTCGACTTAAATTTGCACAAAAACTAAACTAAATCGAGTAAAATAAACAAAATAACATCAATTTCAATTTTTGTTTTTGATTTTTAGGCATGTTTGCAAAATAGATGAGTCTCTGGTTCAAAAACGAAGTAGTTGAGCGAAAAAAGTTAAAAAATAATATTAATTTTGATTTAATTTTGCAAAATTTTAGTCTGTTTAAACGAATTTTTTTTATTTTTACGTTTAAGGCAAAAATAATACTATTTTTGACGAATTTTTCGACTTTTTTTTAATACATTTTGTGAAATAATTGTGTTTTTAGCTGAAAAATGTGAAGCATTTAAAAATGGCAAAAATAAATTGTCATTTTTATCCTTCTTTAATAAAATTCTATAAAACTATTTAGCCAGTTTGGTTATTTTTCGTTTTTTTTTTCAAGAAAATTTGGCAAAAAACACAACTTTTTAACTTATAGTTTAGTGACCTTGACTTTCAGATTCAAACGTCAAACTTCTATAGGCAATTGGATTACCAATAATTCAGTGTTGCTACTAGATTTTTTGTCACAAACATTAATAGTCACCCGGTAGAAAACTCAAGCAAGGAGATAACAAGTCACAAATATTTAATTAAAAACAACAGTTAAGTGGAAATAATTCTTTAATTGCAAGATTTTATGACCGATAATAATTTTATTATTACATTGTAACTAACGCAGATTAAAAAATTAAATGAGAAAACAGAGCCTGATTAAAAAAAAATGGAAAAAAAATCACCTACGAGCTGAAATTGGGTTTAAAATTAAAAATGACCAAAACTCCTGAAACTCGTTGCTTCAGGAACTGAATAAATTAGTAATTGGCCCACTTGATTTCATTTAATCCGGTCCATTAGCCATCACAAACAAGTTCTCCAATTACTCGTCCAACATTTGACACTTAAAAACCCGCCATATGTGTGACTAATTAACCGCCAATATCGGACCAGAAATCAAGTCAGCCTCGCCTATCATTACTTGTGCCGTTGACTGTACACATTCCTTGGCGTATTAACCGGAGCAATCCTCCGGGAATCAAGTACAGTCGGCGAAATTTCCAATGAATAAAAAACACCTGCGTTATGATTTGTCGGTCTTTGCCCGTCCAAGGCCAACCGGATCGTCCAGCTGCCATTTTACTCTCGCTATATGACATGATTTTCCGGGTTGAGTCCGGACGAATTTTCAAATGCCGGAGGAATATTTATGATAGTGTTGTTCTCAATTAACAGGTGGAGGGCCCTTGTATTTTTCGATAGCCCCCAGCCAAATTTTATCTCCTTTATGCATATAACCTTAAATTATGGGTTTTATATTTTAATTCGTTTTGATTTATTTTCAAGATGGCCAGACTAGAATTTGTTTTATTTTGTTTTCTTTTCCAACATCACTGAAACGTATAATTCCGTAGCTTCCGATTTGTGTAGTAATTAAGATGTTAATTAGTTTAATTGGGTGCATCGTGGTGTTGTAAATAATGCAAGATTTGGGTCAAAAATCTCGAAAACCGATCGCCTTTCTTGTGTTGAGACCTCGAGGCGGAGTGAGCGAGTCGTTGAACTCGTTATTTTGACGCACGAATGATTTCCAATGATAAAATTCTTTGGGTTAAAACGGCCTACCACAGGAGCATTCAATCTACTGGAAGTAATTACAAGATGCCACTATGAGTTTTGGGGACGTGTGGGAGTCGAAAACTAAGACAGGAAAGGTCAAATTGAACTATTTTGTTGCCTTTTACGGGCTTTCAAACACGAAATCTAATTGGTTTGGCCTTTGCTGAAGCTAACAATGCCAATTCTTGTCTCGATTTAAAAACTGACAGAAATTTAAAAAAAGTAAACAAATAAACAACGCAAAACTGTGTATACACTAGAAAATTAAAAAACAAAAACGTAATACAGAGGTTTTACTGTAGATCGATATTGGCCAATAAAAAAGTGAAAACTGAAAAAGTTTTGTTGCATTATTTTACTGGGTGTTCCGTTTTTATTGTTACAACTTTAAACATTCAATTTTAACAAAAGTTTCCCCTGATTAGTTGTTCTTTGAATTTGTTTAGGTGTATAAAGGTTATCAAATGTACCAAATTTTGTAATTTTATCTAAAATGGTTTCTGAAATATTGAGAAAAACTCATTAAAAATGAGGCGTATTTTTCGATAATGTTTCTATGAAGCTTTGGTCTTAAAATTAAATATTCTATCACCTGTTTCAATTTGGAACAATAAAAACGGAACACACTATAATTTTTTTAATAAAAAATAAATAAAACAATAATATAAATTTGAGCAAATCGGAAAATTGAAAAATTTAGGATCGATTTAGATTAGATTACAAACTTTTATTATTCAATTGTAATTATTTGGATTGTTTTGGAATTGCTGGAATTATTTGTGAATTACTGGATTTTTTCTGCAATTGCAATTTTCGATAAGGTAATTTCTGTTTTTCTATAGCAGATTTTAAATTAATTCTTTATCAACTCTTTTGAGTAGATAAAGTAACACTTTAACAGCTAGGGTAGATAAAATGTTTTAACTTATTTTATTCTTTTAAATTTACAAATGTTATCACCCACGAGGTGGAATAAAGCGTCCGATTTACACTCAAACGAGTTGAATGCAACATTTTATTCTTCGAATTAGACTCAACAAGGCTTAAATTTGCTTTAAATCTGTTAAAAATAATCTGACGTGTCGTATTGAAAAATCCCAAAAATTTATTTTTTTTTTAATTTTATTTTTTCTCTTAAACTAAAAGTCCTGCTATAGAAAAAAATGTTGTATTATATACGACGATAAAGATTGTTGTGACTTCGTCACTCGTAGATAAACAATCTCTTTATCGTCTTGTATAATAAATAACTATTGAAAATTACGTTGAATTTCTTAAAACTATCGGAGTTAATTAGAAATTACAGGAATTATTTTAGAATTACAAAAATTGAGTTGGAATTATAGAAATTAAATTGGAATTAAACGAGGAGCCGGTAACTCTGGAATTACCTAGTTGAAGAAATTTTTGGAAATTGAATCAAAATTAATTGAAATTATTAAAATTATCTTTGAATTGTTTGAAATTACTGGAATCATTTGTGTATCACTGATTTTTTTCTGAAATTACTGGAATTCTTTTTAGAATTATCGGAGATAATTTCTTTTGAAAATTACGTTAAATTTTTTAGAACAATCGGAATTAACTTGAAATTACAGGAATTCGGAATTACAGGAATTAATCTGATAATACTGGAATTACGATGGAATATTAGATTTACTGGAATTTCGGTTGATTTTTTTTTGTAATAACTGTAATTATTTGTGAATTACTAGAATCTTTCTGGAATTACTAAAATTCTTTTTAAAATTATCGGTAATCGTTTCTTTTTAAAATTACGTTTAATTTCTTATAACTATTAGAGGTACTTTGGAATTACATGAAATATTTTGGAATTACGAAAGTTAAGTTAGAATTAAATTGAAATTACAGGAATTAATTTGAAATTATAGAATTACAATGGATTATTGGAATTACTTTTAGGAGAATTTTTTTTGGAATTACTAGAATTTTTTGATGTTTTTTTTAATAATTCTTTAATTGCAAGATTTTTTGACCGATGATAATTTTATTATTATAGTGTAATTAACACAGATTAAAAAATTAAATGAGAAAACAGAGCCTGATGTAAAAAAATTAAAAAATAAAATGAAAAAATAAAGAAAAAAACTAAAACACAAGAAAACTATTCATCTACGAGCTGAAAACTCCTGAAATTGCTTTACAATTTATTTCAAAAAGAATTTCAGTAATTATAGAAAAAGTTCAGTAATTTACAAATAATTCCAATAATTCTATGGTAATTCAATAAACCGTTGTGATTCCATTGCTAAATTCTAATTAATTCCTGTAATTTCAATTTAATTTCTGTAAGTCAATGCTTGTAATTCTAAAATAATTCCTGTAATTTCAAATTAGATAGATAGTTTTAAGAAATTCAACGTAATTACCAAAAGAAATTTTCTTAAATAATTCCAAAAAAAAACCAGCAATTGCAGAAAAAACCCAGTAATTCACAAATAATGAATTCGAAATTACTAGAATTTTTGGTTGACTTTTTTTGAAATTGTACACATTTTATTTAAGTTAACGCCCATCGGAATTGAGCTGAATTTATCGGAATTAATTAGAAATATAGAAATTTTTTGGAATTATTGAATTTTTTTGTAATCTACTGAATTTTTTCTATAATTACTGAAATTCTTTTTGGAATTATCGAAGATAGTTTCTTTTAAAAATCATGTTGAATTTCTTAGATTATCAGAATTAATTTGGAATTACAGGAATTAATTTTGAATTATTGGATTTTTTTTTTGAATTACTGGAATTTTGGTGTTTTTTTTAGGAATTGGAATCAGTTGAACCCTTTTTTTTAAATTAATGGTCTTACGGATTTTTATTACACTTTGAATAATAAGGGTTTCAGGAACTTTGCACTGTTTTGTTAAAATTGTTAAAAACTTTTAGAATGTGGTTAAGTTTTTCAGGCACAAAATATATGAAAAATATAAATCTGTAAATTACTGAAATATTCCACAACGAATAGTTTTTCAGTAATTGGCTGATATTTGCTAGAAAGACAAATACATTTTTTGTAATATACAATTTTTTTTAAAAGTGGTCAAGATTTTTGTTAATTGCTAGAAAATAATCATTAAAAATTGTCAGAATTCCTCCACATCTTTCATAATTCCGGTAATTATTCGTCCCCCCTCCCCCATTTCATCATTTACTCGTCTCGTATGCCCGGCACGCGAGATTTTTATCGTTTAAATGGATCTCATCCCATGTAACGACTCGAATTCCATCCCAAGACCCATAACTATGCAAATGGCTTCGTAACGCTTACTTTTTTTGCAGATACATCCACAGCAAGGAGAAACCTTTCAAATGCGGAGAATGCGGTAAAGGCTTCTGCCAGAGCCGGACTTTGGCCGTGCACAAAATCCTCCACATGGAGGAGTCCCCCCACAAGTGCCCCGTGTGCTCCCGCTCCTTCAACCAGCGCTCCAACCTCAAAACCCATCTCTTGACCCACACCGACCACAAACCCTACGAATGCAACTCCTGCGGGAAAGTCTTCCGCAGGAATTGCGACCTGCGACGCCACGCCCTCACCCATGCCGTGGGCGACGTCCCATCCGACGGCCTCGGCGATGGGCTACTCCCGGAGCGCGACCCGGAGTCCTCCGACCGGACCCAATGCCACGAACCCGTCCCTTACACCATGCGCCCCAACCCCGACCGGAGTTTCCCCATCGACGACGATGATGATTTGGACGAAGACCCGGAAATTGATCCGGGACAAGAGGACCCACCCGAGGAGAAAACTGACCCGGAGCCGCCCCCTCATCACCCCCAGTTGCAAATCCGGAGGGATTTACACCCAGTTAAGTCCGCGACGGTGACTAGTGGGGCCCTCGCCCTGGAGAACTTCCGGAAGAGACACTTGGAGGCGGAGAGGGCGGCGTATCCGCCGCACTTGAAACTGAGACTTATGCAACCCATGCCGCAGATGGTGCAACAAATGGACGCCCCCGGGACCAGCAACATGGCCAGCGACCTCTCCATGAAGAAGGAGGAGGTGCCGCCCCCGAGACCGCCCCCCAATCCGCCCAAAAAGACTGGATTTACGATAGAGGATATCATGCGGAGGTAATTCGCGACAAGTTCCTTGTAAATATGTGATTTTGTACATAGGGGACTAGAACTCGCAATGACCAGTCGGAATTTTTGGAAAAATAAAAAAAAAACTCCAAAATTTTGAATCTTTGTATTTTGACTTTTTCAATGAATTACTTTATCCGGTTATTGGTTTATACAGGTTGTCCCAACTAAATCAAATTTTTCTTTTTTTTTCAAAACTGAAAATAAACTACACTGTGATGTATTTTATTCGTATTTTTGGACACTCCTGACTCTAAAATCGCAAGTTTTAACGACTTTTTCTTATTTATTTTAATCCTGGTTCTAATTGTGTATTTGGAAAAAAATGGTGTGGTTTTTGGTTCTGAGTTTGAGTTTCTTGTCAAAATTGTATCTAGTTCATGTATTTTTTTTTTGAAAAAATTAAATATAAAGTAGATAGTTTTAATCTTTCGATCATAACTTTTATGAGAAAAATTGTTTTATTATTGCCATTTGAAAAAAAAATAAAAATTTTGTGGAAAATTTTGAAAAATTTTATTTTTATAAAACATCACAATTTTACAGTCCTGTATCAGTTAATTGTCCTAAAAAATAAATATTTTAAGCAAAAAATTTTTTTACATTCTTTTTATTCACCTGGTATAAAAAAAATTAAAATATTTGATCAAATCGGAAAAATTAAAAAAAATTGGATCAACTTAGATTGGATTACAAATTTTTGTAATTCAATTGTAATTACTTGGAATTATTAAAATTATGTGAATTACTGAATTTTTTCGGAAAATTGCTGGAATTTTTTTGGAATTATCGAAGGTAATTTTCTTTGAAAATTACGTTGAATTTCTTAAATCTATCGGAATTATTTTAGAATCACAAAAATTAAGTTGTAATTACGGAAATTAAATAGGAATTAAGTTGAAATTGCTACAATGTGATGTATTTTATCCGTACTTTTGGACACTTCTGACAATAAAGGCGCAAGTTTTAACGATTTTTTCTTATTTATTTTAAGCCTGATTCTAATTATGTATTTGGAAAAAAATAGTGTTTTTTGAGTTTGAGTTTTTTAGTTAGATAATTTTAATCTTTAGATCATAACTTTTATGAGAAAAATTGTTTTATAGTGGGTTGCCATTTAAAAAAAATAGAAATTTTGTAGAAGTCAAAAACAAAAAAAAATTTCGAAAAATTTTATTCTTGATAAAACATCACATTTTTAGCGTCCTTTATCATTCATCAGTTAGTTTTTCTAAATTTATAAATAATTTAAGCAAGAAACATTTTTTCCATTTTTTTATTCACCTGGTATAAAATATATAAAAATTTGGACATCGGAAAAATTTAAAAATTTTGGATCAATTTAGATTGGATTACAAATTTTTGTAATTTAATTGTAATTAGTTGGAAATATTAAAAATTATGTGAACTACTGAATTTTTTCTAAAATTGCTGGAATTTTTTTGGAATTATTGAAGATCTGATTTATTTTATCCGCACTTTTGGACACTCCTTACTCTAACAACGCAAATTTTAACGATTTTTTTCTTATTTTTTTAAGCTTGGTTATAATTATGTATTTGGAAAAAAATAGTGTGTTTTTTGTTTTTGAGTTTGAGTTTTTTGTCAAAACTGTAATTTATGGTAAGAAAAAATTAAAAAAAATTAAATATAAAGTAGTATGATCTTTAGATCATAACTTTTATGAGAAAAATTGTTTTATAGTGGATTGCCATTGAAAAAAATAAAAAATTTTGTAGAACTCAAAAACAAAAGAAAATTTCGAAAAATTTTATTCTTGAAAAACATCACATTTTTGGAGTCCTTAATCATTCATCAGTTAGTTTTTCTAAAAAATTAATAGTTTAAACAAAAAAAAAAATTTTTCTTATTTTGGTATAAAAAAATATTTGTACAAATTGAGAAAATTTGAAAAATTTTGGACCACTTTATATTGGATTACAAATTTTTGTAATTCAATTGTAATTACTTGGAATTATGTGAATTACTGAATTTTTTTCTGAAATTGCTGGAATTTTTTTGGAATTATCGAAGATAATTTCTTTTAAAAATTAAGTTGGAATTTCGAAGATTAATTAAAAATTAAGTTGAAATTGCTACAGTGTGATTTATTTTATCCGTACTTTTGGACACTCCTGACTCTAAAGGCGCAGGTTTTAACGATTTTTTTAAATTTATTTTAAGCTTGGTTCCAATTATGTATTTGAAAAAATATATACAGCGTGTTTTACTTTATTACTTATCTAAAATTTTTAAAAAATTGAACTGAAAACAAGGAATTATTTTTCAGGTGAAAATATAAAATCTTGACTGGACGCAAGTTTAATTTTTTTTATTTCTTTGGATATACCTACTGTAAAAATAGTTGAGATTGAACGACTTAAATTTGCAAAAAATTGTTTTTTATCTATTGTGGTTTTACACAGTGTTTAATAAATGTGGAAATATGTTAAAAATTAGTAGAATAACATATTTTTTGTTGGGACACCCTGTATATTTTGTAAACTTGCCATTTGAAATGTGTGTTTAGTTAAAAATGACTGGCTTAGTGTATATTACTTTAAGTATTTTTGGGCCATTCTGTAAATACGGCCCTAAAAGTGTTACGGTACAAATATAAGTTATTTCCTCGGCGACTTGATGAGATCAAGGACCTGAATCGAATAATGTACTAAGTGGATCTCAGAATTGAGGTTTGAGTTAGTTTTTAAGTAATATTTTTTTAGTTTAGTTAGTTGATAGTGATGTATATTTGAAATTTTGAATAAAGTATTTTATGTAAATCGATGTCTTTCATTATGGAATGTCCAACCGGATTTAATTCATAAAAAAGGCTCTTCGGAGCTGAAAGTGGTCGAGATTGTCAAGTCTAATGAAAAGTAATGGGTCTTCTTTCCAAAGTGGTCGGGCGACTCGCCATCCTTGTCTGGGTTTGTATAGCGGAGCGTGAGATGAAATCAAGTTCGAAAGTAATTATTTTCGAAAAAAAATTGTTCCGGCTACGGCGCGAACCTCCGTTTTGTATTTTTGGTCAAAAAAAATTGAAAAAAAAGTTGTCCCGAGCAGGGCGCGAACTTGCGTTTTTTGGGTCGCGACCCCAAAATGACCCGTTTTTCTTCGATTTTTTGCGTTGCGACCCCAAAATAACCCGTTTTGGTTCGATTTTTTTGAGATGAGTGCCTCCCCACGCCGCCTCGATGCAAATCGCGTCGCCTTCCGAACGATTGTTCTACAATTAGATTGTCACCATTGACACAGCCACTCCTTCGGTAGCTCGTATGCAAAACGTGTGGGAAAGCGAAGAAATTGTGGGTGTGGGTGCAAGGTGCCCATCCACCTGCTCCAAACCCCAATATCAGGTAGTCGTCGAAGAAAAAAAAGACGTTTAGCACCCTTGGAATTGATCATCGGGCACCTGTCTTTTGCATACAGCTGCGAAATGGTAATGTCGGCCCATTGACTGAATTAAAATAGGGTGCTGTGATGGGCCTCTCGACAGGGTGTTGTCGGTATTTAATTTGTCTCATGAATATGGATGCGATGGTTGCAACGCGAGACACACCCATCAAATAAAATTCTGATAATGATTATGTCATTGTAAATGATGTTTTGCATTCATTAATTATGAGAAAATAAATTACGTGATCCGTTTCGCGGGTTTAATTTATTCCAATGTTTTTTGCTCCAATTTCCAAGAAATTAAACACAAAATGACGGGCAACTCGGGTTCGAGCCCGGGTCTAGGTCACTTTTTTTTGAAAACAATTATGGAAAACAATAAAAACTATTATAATTATAATTAAATAACCGCAATAAACTAATAAAAATAGTTAACAAAATTTAAAAATAGTATTTTTTTAATTTTTTTAAATTCGGCCCAGATTTTACTAAAATTTTCAAATTTAGGTTCCACCAGGAAGAATAAAATTTTAATTATTATTTCTATTATTTTAACTTCTCCAATCGTAACAGTTGTTTAAAAAATTTAGATGTAGCTATAATCGCTTATTTTCAAGATGGTGGCACTTCCGATTATACCGGAAGTGGGTATTAATTTTACTATTTTAAATAGAAAGCTGTTTTTTATTGCGTTTTTGGATTTCCTGAGTTATTCAATCAAAGTTTTTAAATTTTTAGACTTTAGACTACAATTATTAAAATTAGGGCCTTTCTTTTGAAAAAATGAGTTTTCCAAATGTAACCTTAAATTCTAGGGGTTTGTTAATAATTTTTTCAATTGTTCAATTTCGTTAAAAACAAACCACATTGGGACTTCGGGAGTGTTTAAGCCGTTTTGTAATAAAAACAAAGCTTTTTCGAAAATTTTTACTAAAACTGGCTGAAAAATTATCAAGTTAGACTGAAATTGATATTATTTTAACTTGTTTCGTTTGATTTAGTTCGTTTTTGAATCAGACTCATATATTTTGCAAAATCTCGCCAAAACATGCCAAAAAATTGCAAAAATAAATTAATGTTGATGTTATTTTTCTGTTATTTGATTTAGCTTGTTTTTGAAATTTTGTCAAAAATAAGTCAAAATAAATTCGTTGAAAATGGTGTTACTTTACCTCTTTTAAGCATTTTTTTGAACTAAAATCTCAGTTTTGTGCTGATGTGTTTTAGTAAAAATATCTTGCAAAATTTTGTTAAAAACAAGTCAAGGAAATAGCAGAATTTGATCAAATTTAGTGTTAGTTTTGCTCATTTTGGAGCATTTTAGTGTGTTTTTCAACAAGAAACTTAATTCTTTTGCAAATTTTTGTTTAAAACAAACCAAAAAAATTATTTTAGCATTTTTAGAGCGTTTTGCACCTTTTTGTGATAAAATAGTATTTTTTTGAAAAAGTTTACTAAAACTGAAAATAATTAAATTAGATTGAAATTGATATTATTTTGTCGTGTTTCGTTTTGTTTTTAAGTCAGAAACTAATTTACTTTGCCTGTTTGTGATAAAATAGTTTTTTTAAATGTACTAAAACTGCTTGAAAAATCATCAGATTAGATTGAAATTGATATTTTTTTATCGTGTTTCGTTTGATTTGATTTGTTTTTGAATCAGAAACGCACGATTTTGTCAAAATATGCCTAAATTATTTTAAAATAAATCGAAATTGATGTTATTTTGTCTGTTTTACTAGATTTAGCTGTTTTTTCAGAAAAATTTTGTCAAAAAATAAGCTAAATAAATGTCTAAAATGGTGTTACTTTTTTTAAGCTGTAAGTTTTTGAACAAAAATCTCAATTTTGAGCAAGATTTTACAATACTTTTTTAGCATGTTTTTCAGTAGCAAATTTTTCACAACATTTCGTTAAAAACAAGCTAAAAACTTAATCGATTTGGCCAAAAATGTTTTTGAGTGTTTAGACACGTTTTTGATAATATAAAACCATAAAATTTTCAATTTTTTTAAAAATATGTTTTAGAACTAAAATCTCAGTTCTTTGCTGATTTTATATTATTTTTCCTTTCTTCAATTGTTTTAGTATGTTTTTCAGGTGCAAATATTTTTCAAAATTTTGTTAAAAACAAGCCAAAGAAATTGCAGAATTTAATGAAAAATAAAGTTATTTTTGCTCTTTTTGAAGCATTTTAGTACGTTTTTCGACAAAAAACTTAATT